GGTGGCTCTGTTGGTGTCTGGTCAAGGCAGACCTCTGTGAGAAGCCCTTCCCACACTCAGAACAGCCTTAGGGCCTCTCCCTGGTGTGGGTGTGCTGGTGGCTGGTGAGGTTGCACTTGCGGGTGAAGCCCTTCCCGCAGTCGGGGCAGCGGAAGGGCCTCTCGTCGGTGTGAAGCTGCTGGTGCAGAATGAGGCTGGAGCTGGTCTGAAACCTCTTCTTGCACTGATCACACTCGTAGGGCCTCTCCCCGGTGTGGCTCTTCTGATGGCAGACCAGGTGGGACTTTGACATGAAGCTCTTCCCACACTCCCCACACTCAAAGGGCCGTTCCCCCGTGTGGCTCCTCTGGTGGACAATCAGTTCAGACCTCGACCTCAAGCTCTTCCCACACTGCTCACACTTCTTGAAGGGCCATTGCCCTGTGTGGATTCTCATGTGGCGGGTCAGGTGGCAGCTCCTTAGGAAGCTCTGCCCACACTCCCCACACTCATAGGGCCGTTCCCTGGTGTGGCTTCTCTGGTGCACGGTCAGCTCAGAGCTCGTCCTGAAGCTGTTCCCACACTCTGCACACTCGTAGGGCCGTTCTCCTGTGTGGGTCCTCAGGTGGCCAGTCAGGGTGGATTGCTGGCTGAAGCTCTTCCCACACTCAGGACACTCATAGGGCCTCTCCCCGCTGTGGATGCGCAGGTGGATGATGAGGATAGACTTGAGCTTGAAGCCCTTTGAACAAATGTGGCAGCGGAAGGGCCTCTCCTCTGTGTGACTCTGCTGATGCCTGAGGAGACTGGAGCTGCTCTGAAACCTCTTCCTGCATTTATCACACTCATGGGGCTGTTCCCCAGTGTGGATTCTCATGTGGCGGATCAGGTCGGATTTCCATCTGAAGCTCTTCCCACACTCCGAGCACTTGTGGGGCTTCTCCCCATCCTGGAGCTGATCATGGATCCCCAGCTCCGAGCTCTGGTCACCTCCCTGGTCCAGGGTGGGTCTTTCCTCCTCGGATCCCCGAGATCTGCGTTTGCAGCCCCTCCCCTTGCGGGATCTCCGGGGATTTTCCTCCC